AAGGTCCATCTCTCCAGCAGCAGGGCATCCTGCTTGATGGCAGGGTCAGTGATGTCATTTCCTTCCATGGTAAGGCCTTCGTCACTGTAGCAGCAGTCTGGGAGTAGCATCACCTCGATCATGATGGGGATGTGGTTCCTCCACAGGAGCATGACCTCCGAGCGAGTCCGTCTAGCTTGGCGGCACTGTTAGAGCAGCAGGGGGTGGTCAGCCGCCACAAGCTCCAATGAAATACGACTACAGAGCCCAGTCTAATGACTATGCTCAACTTTGTACACAGACTTACACTGCACAACCATATTATGGGGCCACACCATGGTTTGTGGCCATTTTTTGTAGAGAAAGGAACTGTGTATCAATTACTGTGCATGCTCACAACTTCGAACGAAGTAAACCCGCTCGACTGGAACTCAACACCTAGAAGATATTTTTCTTCTTCTTTGATTACATCGCCCTGCATTTTGAAACTTTTTCTCCGCTGATTTGATAAACTGTGTTGATTTTATATAATTCGAAGGCGCCGATTTCAAATTTGCCCTAAAAATTTGTGCATCACATCAGGTTTTTTGACAAATCACAAATTCTTTTTTTCATTGTTACGGCCCCAATTTGTTATGGCGTCAATCTGTTATGACGTCACGGACAACAAGGGATGACAGACAAAATTCTTAAACTTCAACAGATTTAATTAAACAAACACTTAGAACTAATCTACAATCTACCCTACTGACCAAGATTGAAATAAAAAAAAAAAAGAGATATTTACAGTCCCCTGGCAATTGAGATGGGCTGCTGTGTTGTGATGTCCTGGGACAGGAAAATGCTCAAACACAGGCAAAAATCCACAGAAAGCTTCACAGGTCTTGAAAAGAGTGACAGGTCTGGTCAAATGTATCCTTCCCACAATTTCTCCTTGCAATTTCTCCAACTACCCTTCCACTCTCTCAATTTTTCTCCTTATATACTCTTTTCCAGCCCCCTCTGAGGCATGCCCAGGACATGCCCCAAACATAGCTTTAGACTGGGCTTAACAAAAAAAAAGTCAATACTGCCATCTAGTGGCTTTTTTTTTCCACATTACATTATATTGATATATCTAAGAATACACAATGATAAATGAAAGCAAAATGGCACAGTTAGATTTTAAGCATTCTGCAAGATGCAATGAAACAAACTGCAGCTTACCTAAGGATTAAATTTTCTTTTCTTTGATTAACGGGAATAATTTTGTTTGGGGCAGTCTCTCTGTAGGCACCAACAGTAACACCACCCTGCATGTTGAAAAATATTTTCTGCTGATTTCCCAAAAAGGCCTCATATTACCTAATTTGAGGATGCTGAATTTAAAAATGTGAGCAAAAAGTTTCTATAACAGTTTTTTCCAAAATAAAAATGAAGATATTCCTTATTATATCATATTAATCGACTTTTATGCACCGATCAAAACAGCAACAAATGCTATTTGGGTGTAGTGAAACACCAACAGATGTAGCAGAAAACATCTGTATCATGTTTGCATTTTCCTCTGTCAGTGGCCATATTATTACGCCTGACATCAAGATTAAGCACAAAATAATGTCCTCAGAATCATTCTACATGTGAAAATCAGCCAAGAATTGAACTAATAGTTCTCACCTGGCTCAGAGGAAAATAGAAATCATTCATTGTGGCAGTTTTTCCGGTGGTTAAGCACTTCTTAATCGTACAAGTGGTTGTCGAAAGTGACAATACTATGAAATGCTCATCATACATTGCGAGAAAATGTGACGTGCTAGGGCAACACTGACACTATTTTTGGAATCGGCACCCTAAAGTTAGTAAGAAACAATAAATGGATTTTATTCAGCAAAAATGATGCAGGGTGGTGTTATTAGTGATAGCAACCAGCTTACATTCTGTGTATCCCTTGGCAAAAGCTTAAAATAGCCCTTTGAATCCTGGAGGTTCCATAGAAAACTCCTTATTATAAAAAAGCATAATTCTGGAGTAGCTAAAATATACAAATACAATGCAAAACAAAGACGGATTGGCAAGGATGGAATCACATTATGACTAGCAGTCAAGCAGATTCACTTTCTTGGGATGAAAGTTCTGAACATGCACAGTAATCGTGACACAGCTCCTTTACGGCTTGGCCTCTTAATGCCACCTAAATAAAATCTTGACGCTACAACAGAGACTGACATTCCAGATGATTTTGTATTTGTATCAGTCTTGGGAATGCCACTTCCTGTTTCAACATGGCAATTCTCGTTCACGACGAGGTCCATGATTGAGTTCTTGAGATCAGTTGAGAAGAACTTGACTGGCCTGCTCAGAGCCCTAACCTCATCTCCCTGAAACTCAACTGGAATCCACTGAAAAGCAGACTTTGAGCCAGGCCTGATCTCCGAACATCAATGCCCAACCTCACTAATGCTTCATTGACGATGAGGGTAAATCCCTACAGCAATATTCTAACATCTAGTGAAAACCCATCTCAGAAGAAGTGAGGCTTAAATATATGCAAATGGGTCCCATCTCCATAATAATTCCCATGATTGCCAGAGGTCTATAGTGCTGTCTGCCATATATTCCACACACACACACACACACACACACACGTAGCCCAATACAAGAGGGATGCATTTTTACTCCATCCATCAAAGAAAATGTGAAAAAAAATGTCTCAGCTGACAAACTGACACGTCCACTCTGACCAGAAGAACCTTATAGATTAGCGAAAGCAGGCCGGATTTCGCCGATTCGACATAACAGCTCCCACTGTCCTTAAAGTGGACCTTTACCTGCGCCACCTTGTCGCTGCACTCATGTTTGGAGTGGACAGGAAGAGCAGACTGTGCCGGGGGGCAGTGAAGCCCCTCCGTGCGGCCTTTCACGGAACATTCCGGAGTGCGGCCCTCGGTGACCAGCAGGGACAAAAGCACCAGGAACTCCTCCGCGTCGTACTCAAAGAACTCCTCAGAGGCATCTGGGGGAGATACACAGTTAGACTGAGTTAGAGGAAGCCCATTAGCAGGCAATCCCTTAGGTTACGAAACATCAGTCATGTAAACACAACAGCCAAGCATCAGCATGTGAATTTCTGTTTCATATTGCAGGTACACAACAGGTCATGCAATGGGCCCAAGGGGACAAAGGCCATAAGACATCACAGCCTCATTTCTCTGCACAATAGGCTTTTCTAGGGCGACGCTTCAGGCACAGGCAGGATCTGCTCTCTGCATACAGACGGAGGACGTAACTGAAATATTATCCCGCCGTGTGTAAATAAATCCATACTGCTACTGTTTGCCGATACTGCTGAACCCCTAAACCGTAATTATCCTATTGTTCCATCTGGCAGACGGATTCGTTGAGTGCTATCACAACAGTATAGAGACAGCAGCTATACAAGTCACAGCTACTGACGTATGATAATCGCAGCCATTATACAAAAACAGCATGCAGTGACTTATTCAGGGCTACACAAAAACCCTGTAATTTACGTACATTTTAAAGTTTGGGCTCAAAATTCTAGTGAGAATAGATGAACTCAAGAAAACAATGTCCTACTTCACAGTCTTGCCTAAGCATGGTATTGTAATACCAATTCAGGAACTAGCAACAGCTTCGAAATTAATGCACAATGTGAAAACAAGGCAATTTAATCATTTTCTGCTGACAAACAGTGCTGCCTAGGCTCGTCAAATTGTGTTTCCCCCCCAACAGGATATGCGCATACATTTTATACATTACCTCAGATGAATCATATTTCTTGAACAACAGAAATTGACTAGAGCAAAATTAGAAAAGTAAACAGCCCTATTTATTCTTAGGGAGAATGGTGCTTGGGCTGATTGCATTATGAGATTCTCATCTTTAATTTAATCCCTGACCAGCCAGCTCAAATGTCTTCTCAAATCTTGTTACAGCAGTGAAATTACTTACAGTTAACTGTCATTGCAATTTGTGGGAGAAATAGACAGTCAAAAGCTGTCTGCTGTTATGGAGGACTGCCAAGACTGCCTGGCTTTAGCAGTAAGGCTAATTCCCCACAGTACACTACCATCCAAATGGCCTCTGAAAAGCTATAAATTACCACTCTCTTTGCTTTTTTCTCATGCCTTCTGTAACACATCAGGCCAGGCTATGACAGACACTGTTTGATGTTCTCAGATAAAGGTGTTAGCATATGCGAGTACACCCCTTCGAAAAGGCGAAAGACGAGTTCTTACAGTGGACTCTTTGTTGGAGCTACAGCATGCAAAGCAATCTCACTGAATGGTAATTCGGCACAGACCCGTAACTACAGCAGATGCAGGCATTCTTTATGGCTTAAACAAAAGTCTCGGGCAGCTCCGTTTCCAGTGAAATTTTAATCAGTCGAGCCAGTTTTCTGTGTGGTGTAACCAGTCTTTTATCAACTTTGATTGAGTGCGAAGCTTTCCTGAAAGCACAATTCAGGTAACTGTTGGAGCCATCAATTTAAGAACTTACATGCTTCCTGTCGATGCACTCAAAAAAGGTAACTAAGGTATATAATGCTTCTCATGTTATTCATGAAGAAAAGTGAGGTATTCCAAGAAAAAATGTAATGATAATGAGGCCCTCACAAATTATCCCCTGTAAACTTGAATTAAATTGATGAAAATCTTGTTTAAATCCACTTTGTTCTACATTACACAGAAAAAATACAGTCAGATAAGATAAACCACCGCAAAGCCATCATGCGCTGCAAAAAAATAGAAAAAAAAGAGCACAGCACAAAATCTAAACCCCAGACCATACAGACAGGAAGGCATCTATTTTAAGCACAGACTGTGGAGCTACACCCAACTATTCTTAACCAAACCACAACACAATAACACTACTTTACACAGATCTGAGAAGACACAATATACATATAATAAGAGCCCACTTTACCATCCTTCAACATCAGTTATGATGATAATTTTAGATTTTAAACTCTGACAAGGCTAATTGCACAGTTTTAATAACACCGCTCTCAGGCTGAAAGTGGCTCAGTGGCGCAGTAGGTAGGGCCCTTGCCTCAAAGCAAGAAGGCGTTTGTGGGTTCAAATCCGGCCTGGGGCCTTTCTTTGTGGAGTTTGCATGTTTTTCCCAGTGTTCACATAGGTTATCACCGCGAACTCCACTTTCCTCCCACAGCTCAAAAACATGTACAGCAGGGAAATAAGTATTGAACGCATTTTTCTCAGGAAATATAATTCTAATGGGGCTATTGACATGAAATTTTCAACAAATGTAACAACCCAAGTAATCCACGCATACAAAGAAATCAAAACAAATAAGTCCATAAATTAAGTTGTGTAATAAAATGGAATGACACAGGGAATAAGTATTGAACACATGAAGAAAAGGAGGTGCAAAAAGGCATGGAAAGCCAAGAAACCAGCAGAAATATGTCAGTATTTAGAAAGCAATCCTGCCTCCTATCAGGGCAAATTAATATCAGCTGGTTTAGTCCCAATTGATGGCCTATAAAAAGGTTTCTCATTACCAAGGTGTCACACAAGAAGCATCTCATGATGGGTAAAAGCAAAGAGCTCTCTCAAGACCTTCACAACTTTATTGTTGTAAAACATACTGATGGCATTGGTTACAGACATATTTCTAAACTTCTGAATGTTCCAGTGAGCACCGTTGGGGCTAGGGCTGGTTTCAAAAAAATCTATTTTCCAATTCAGATCGATGTTTTATTCAAATTTTCGATATCGATTCATTTTATTCAAAGATCGATCTTTTGTTAGTGCATTTCCATCTTGCTTGTGAATATTCAATAACTGATCCGGAAGTGTCATCTAGTGATAGAATATTGTTCTGCATGCATAAATTTGCAGCTCCATGTCTGCTGGCAGACACGTCTGCACAAGGCGCTTAAGATACCCTGCCGAGCACCGTTGTTCTTCTCGAACACGTCAAATCCAGATAATCCTTAAATGATGAATTACATTCATATTTTAATTTGTAACGAGTAGCGAAGTGGCCAGTGTCAGAGTAACGAAGTAAAAGTAGGCCTATACTTTTTATCTTTTAAATGTAGTAGAGTAAAAGTCCCAGTTCAAAAAAAAAAAAAAAAACTCAAGTACAAATCCTCAAAAAAAAAAAAAAAAAACTACTTCAGTAATGAATTTCCCGACGTGACGGATAATAATGAATAAGTTAATTGCAGGTAGAGGTATTTTGACGAGGTCTCATATAAATGTACATCGAGCGGTGTTTCATTGATAGAAAGCATGCTGCAAATGCGAAACTACCTGTTGACGGTAAAAATGTACTGTGATCCGTACGTAACCGCAGTGGACACGACTGGTTACGCACGGAACGGTAAATTGAGGCCGGATTATAAAGCTACAAGTAATGAGAGAGAACAAAATCAACGTTGGATATTAATTTCGGTATCAGATCTTTATTTAAAGCTCAACTACATGTGTTGGGAGATATATTTTCAATAACAGCGTCAGGTAGAAGTTTAGTAATAAAACATGTCCCAATTTTCGTCCACCATTTAAACCAGTTTTCGAATAAAAAATCCAATATTATTTTCTTTGTTGAATGTATCGTAATATTTATTTCTGTACAGTTGAACATGTCCATGTGGGGTATTTTGGGCAAGGATATTGGTTTAAATTCAACAGCATTTACTGGAAAATGAACTAGCAAAGTGAAGCATGTAATATTGACCCAGTTTCAGAGAATAATAGTCTACTGACTGTTAAGTCTATGTTGCCCTTTATTATGTTAATTGATCCAATGTGTTGGTCAATACAAAGTATTTTCAGGAAACAAGTTTGGGGTCACTTTTTAGTGTGAACTTTAATATTTTAAATATTGAGCTAGTTAGAAGGTTTCTTATTAATAATTCAACTGAAAGTACAATTTCTGCCATTAGTTCTCTAAGACTCCCTTTCATATTCAAGCAAAACAGGTACTGTAGCTGAAATATCCTTCAATGAATCGATATTGAATTGAGTCGAATTGGAAATCGAATCGAATCGGGACCTTGTGAATCGAAATCGAATCGATTCAGGAAATCAGTGGCAATACCCAGCCCTAGTTGGGCCATAATCCAGAAGTGAAAAGAACATTATTTCACCATAAACCGGCCACGACCAGGTGCTACTTGCAAGATTTCTGACAGAGGAGTCAAAAGAATAATCAGAAGAGTGGTCCAAGACTCAAGGACCACTCGCAGAGAGCTTCAGAAAGACCTGGAATTAGCAGTTGTTTCAAAGAAAACAATAAGTAATGCACTCAACCGCCATGGCTTCTATGCACGCTCACCGCGCAAGACTCCATTGCTGAAGAAAAAAGCATGTTGTAGCTTGTTTAAAGTTTGCTGCACAACATTTGGACAAGCCTATGAAATACTGGGAAAATATAGTCTGGTCAGACGAGACCAAAATTGAACTCTTTGGATGTTCATAGCACACACCATGTTTGGAGGACAAATGGCACTGCACATCACTCCGAAAACACCATACCAACAGTGAAGTTTGGAGGTGGGAACATCATGGTGTGGGGCTGTTTTTCAGCATAAAGTACTGGCAAACTTCATATAATTGAAGGAAGGATGACTGGAGAAATGTACCAAGACATTCTTGATAAGAATCTGCTGCCATCTACCAGGATGCTGAAGATGAAACGAGGGTGGACACTTCAGCAAGACAATGATCCCAAACACACAGCCAAAAAAAACGCTCAATTGGCTTCAGAGAAAGGAAAAAAAAAAAAAAAAAAAAAAACTGTTGGAATGGCCCAGTAAATTATCTGACTTGAATCCCATTGAAAATCTAGGTAAGAACTGAAGATCAGAGTTCAGAGAAGAGGCCCCTGGAACCTTCAAGATTTGAAGACAGTTTGTGTGGAAGAATGAGCCAAAATCACACCTGAGCAATGCATGCAACTAGTTTCTCCATACAGGAGGCATCTTGAAGATGTCATCACCAGCAAAGGCTTTTCTAATAAGTAGTAAATAAATTTCAGTCAGCGTGTTCAATACTTTTTCCCAGTGTCATTCCACTTTATTACACATAACTTAATTTATGGACTTATTTGTTTTGATTTCTCTGTATGCGAGGATTACTTGGGTCGTTACCGACATCTGGTGAAAATTTCATGTCAATAGCCCCATTAGAAATATATTTACTGAGAAAAATGTTAACGCGTTCAATACTTATTTTCTCCGCTGTATGTCAGGTCAATTTGAGACTCTAAAAGTATGAGTCTGTGAGTGAATAGTGTGTGTGCCCTGCGATAGATTGGCGAGCAGTCCAGGGTGTGTTCCTGTCTTTCGCCCATAGTCAGCTGGGATAGGCTCCAGCCCCCCCGCGACCGTAGTGAGGAAGAAGCAGTATAGATAATGGATGGATGGATTTTCACACATACGTCATTTTAGCAACATGAAAACTTCAATCTTGCCCTTTATATTGTCCGCTGAATTTTGGCTTTGCAGCAGAAATATTACCATACAGGCCCGAGCGGACGAGAACACAATCTCAACTCATAATGAATTTTCTTTTTTAGGGAAGTCGTGCCAGGTAATCCATTTTAAGATCAAGACTGGAATAAATGAGTCCCTGGTGGGATTTCTGGGACAGAAATTCAAGTGACCTCATCTTTAAACTTCATACAAATAAAGTGATGAAACCTGTCATTTTCAATCAACATCTCTGCAGTCAAATGATGAAACATTGAGTTGAATGTGGAACAGACCATTTTAACTGAAAACATAACTCCCACTCACTGAGGGTAAATCATTTAAGATCAGAGATATTCATACACCGATTGTCCACAAGATTAAAACCACCTGCCCAGTATAGTGAAGGTCCCCCTTGTGCTGTCAAAACAGCTCCATGAAACTGATTTGACTTTAATTCCCAAACTCAGGGTTTCCCATCAAAACATTTCCCACAGTATCACACTCCCACCACCAGCTTGTCCTCTTCCCACAGTGCATCCAGATGCCATCTCTTCCCAGGTAAACAATGCATAGGTACACAGTCGATGCACTTGATGTAAAAAAAAAAAAAAAAAAAAAAAATGGGACTCCCTGGACCAGGAGACCTTCTTCAACTGCTCCAAGGTCCAGCTCTGAAGCTGCTCTAACCCACTCGTCAGGCCATAATGATTTGGGCCTCGTCAAAGTCGTTCAGTTCCCATATCTCCCACATCCAGGAATGTTGAATTTGAGATCCGACTGCTTGCTAACCGACCAAGATCTGTCTGCGGACCTGGACATGTACCTCTGTTATGAGATGATTAACATTATTTGCTGCATCTGTGAGTAGTTTTAATGTTCTGGCTCAAATGAGTAAATTCATAAAGCTGACACTAGGTAAGGACTTACATGGCAGCAAAGGCCAGATGCAGAGCAGAGTAACCTGCTGAGAAGCCAAGACCTCCATCTTCGCAGAGGAACCTACAGCAGGTTTAGCTTATACTTTAAACCCGGAGGAAGATACAACTGACTTTACATGGGCAGAGGTCAATGAGCAGTTTATTAGGCTCCCAAGCTACACAGTAATGAAACCAATTTGGAGTCAGGACCGTTAAGACTGACTGTTACTCCCAGTGATCCACAGAAACGCATGACCCCGCTACAAGCAACTGAGAGTGCCGGAGTTGACCATTCCCTACAGGGTTAAAAGGCCAAAGAGCACAGATGTGTTAAGAGTCCGACTGACCTGCCCTCTTTATCTCTGTGGCACACTACAGGCCGAGCAGTGCGGTTCACACTGCCCTGATAACACAAGCCCTCAGTGATTACGTAAACCACCGGCTGCTGTTTACACACAGAGCTTCTCGGCGACCTCCACTATTCCCAGGGCTTGGGGATAATCTCCAGTTAACAGGGTGCGCAAACGAAACACAGACCGATCTGTGTGCGGCCAAACATTTGTGCCCCCACCGCTACAGAGCCTGGCAGCCGTTCAACTGCCAAACATAATGGGGCCTTACATCTGTTTACTTATCTCCCAGTCCTGCTAGATCGAGCACAGAGAAACCACTGAAATTAAAAAAACACAATGCACAATACGCCAAGACTATTTTACTAATACGGCGTCATCTGC